GAGGAGGAGCAGCCTCACGCTTTGCATTCCCTCTTTCCCCAGATGTCTGAATCAAAGCCTGTAAGAAGCTTTGTTTGCTCCTTGGGCCGCAACCCTGGGGCTGATTTCGCTGCGTGCCCAGAGCTGGGTCCCAGAGGCATCGTGGGCCACGGCACCGACTCTAAAAGGCACAGGGCTGCTGCGATCATTTGGCGCAGTAACTGGTCAGGGCCATCAGACCAGCAAGTTTTAAGATTCCAAATATTGAGGGATCTGATCACCGAAAGGAAAAAATAATAATGTCTATTACGCTTTCAGACTAAGCAGGACAGTCAGCATTGCATTACACGGCATTAAATTATGAGTCGACTCTCGATAGCAGGAACATCTGCTGGTGTTAGACATGGCATTTTTAATTAAAGGCAGCAGCAGAGAGGCTGCGGTTCATCGGTTCTGCTTTCGCCGCGCGAATCGCTGAATCCAAAGGGCACTTGTACAGAAGCTTTGGCTGGAGCACATGCTCTGGACCTGGCACTGCAGAAGCCGGAACGGAAAAGCATCCGAGGTGACAGGTGACTTAGAGCTGCACCCAACGTGGCCTTCGCTTCTGCTTTTTCCAGAAGAGGGAGTTTTAACCTTCCAAAGGGATAAAGGTTCGAACAGGGAATAACTTGCAGCCCCTGTCAGCTGCCCACCCAGACCCCTGGCTCTAAGCAGGACCAAAAATCGCCATCAGACCTGGGCCAGGGATCTGAGCATGGCTGGAAAATGCCCAAAGCCCCCGGCAGCATGGATACATCCCAGAAATACCTGTGCGGATAGACCCAACGCCCAAAACGGCCTTCCCTTCTTCCACCTACTACTGTCCCAAGGCAGTCTGACAAGCCTGGGTCATGGCCAGGCAGTCTCCTTTGACGGGACTCAGCGTACCTGTATATAAAATCTGAATTCTAGATCTGTTCGCGAAATGCCAGGTCTTAACTCGGCTCGGTGCGCAGGCAGAGATGAGGAGCAGGGAAAAGCTCTCATCTCAGGGCATGGATGGCGGAAATGTCAGGCCCCAGTGACGCGCACGGCTGCCTTCCCGTCGGAGCGGAGGGGGCCAGGATTTCCCTCGACGAGCCCTGCAGATGGTGTTTGTTTGCTCAGCCACGATAGAAAAGGAAAATATTTGGTGCAATCTGCTAGCAGGCAGAGGCAGACATATGGTCGGTGCAACGCAAGCCTGGATGCTTGGGAGAATGCCGTCAAAGCTTTGCGGCAGCTTTCAGATGTTGGATTGCCCCTGTGTGGGATACAAGCCCAAGAAAACCTTGGAAGAACCTGGGTGCAGTTTTTGTACAGTGGCTGCTGTGCCTTGAACCCTGTTATTATTAGCCCCGCTTTAATTAGTTCTGTTGTACTATCCCAGTTGCACCGGCGTTATTATAATTAACCCAGTTTTAATTAATGCCAGCTTCAGCTCTGGCTCAACGCTTGGAGAAATCCTCACTGGTTCTACGTCCGTTCATCTGGAACACACAAAACACAGGTCAAAACCGACAGAGGCGGTTAAAGGCACTCAGTTGCGCGTTTGGAGACGGTGGGGCCAAGGTGTGGCTGCGGCATCGCTTTCGTTCTCTTTACCTGTGACTTACGAGCCTGTTTGCGCACGCGTCGTTGCAGCATCAAGCCTGTGGGAAATCTCTGGGCCATCCCAAAACATAAAATCCCTTTTATTTCCCTTTTAGTTACATTTGAAAACCCCAAACCCCAATTCTTCTTGTTTCTGTTTCCCAAATGCCAAGGCCTATTTCTTAATCAGGACTAACCTCCAGGTAAAGCAGCGCTGGTGACATTAAAGGTTTCAGGGAGGCATCCTGGCTGTGCCGCGGGGGCGGTGGGAGCAGTGGACCACAGCTCCGGAGCTGCGATGGGGCTGTCACACGTGCCGTGATGGGTCCCTGCACCCATTTGGAGCCTCCGTGTCCATCCCATGCTAAGGGAAATTGGTGAGGGCAGCGCACGTTCCACTGTAAAGATTGCTTTTTTGGGCGTTACGGGTTTTTTTTTAAAAGAAGCAAGCAGGATCATTTCTTTTCCATCAGGATTTAATTCCCTTTTTCCCTGTATGTCTCCTCTTGAAGATGTACAGCCAAGCTTCCCCCTGAAGTCTTTGCTTTTAGATTTACCTTGTGGTTGCTGTGTGCTCCTCAAGGTCAGTCAGGGATCCCCACGCTGACTGTCAGGGCTCGGCAACTCCCGTTTCATCGGGATAAAGCAGATTACCGGGACTGCAGGCACTGGGCTCATTCCAGGTGGAAATTTGCCATGACTTGTTAACAGCAAACCTGCCTCACTTTGAAGAATTCAAGTTATTTTGGGGGGGGGGGTTGAGTATGCCTGAGCGCTCGAGGGCAGGGGCAAAAGCACGCACACAAAGCGTGCAGAGCATTTGCCCAACTCGCTTCCTAGCAAAAGGAAACCAAGGAACAAAAGCACCAGCACATCTGTATGTGTTCACAAGTAATTTATTTTTTTAAATAGGTGGGGATATGCTTTTTTCTGCACTAATCCATAGTAAATCCAAATTAACGCGATAGCAGTTCCTGATGATTTATGTTGTTATAATAAATAACAGCAACCGCATGCAGCTTAGTTGATGATTAATGAACCTTATTTACAGCGTGCACAGCTCAGGTCTGCAGTTTACACTTGCAAACATCAAAGGAGAGTTCAGCTTTCGTTTTCACCTGTATTTTAAGGCCACGTCGTAAATCCTGCACAAGCAGCCTTGACGGCTGCACTCTAATCCCCAAACAGGATTGCTGTGCACTGCCGGAAGAAATGCCAGCCTGACCTGAGCGCTGCAGGGGCTGTTCCCCTTCGGCCTGGGGAGCGCAGCCGGCTTCATCATCCTCTGATTTCCCTACCGCGCGGCTCACTTCTGAGGCAAGTGGGATGGTTGGTGAGCTCCTTCGCAGAAGAACTCCCCGCCCAGAGCCTGTGCACATCCCCAGCCCTGCGCCCGCAACAGCAGCTCTGATTTATCAGGCTGAGGAGTGATTACAGAAACTCAGCAGCCCTGGGATGACAACTCTCCTGCTTAACTTCGCATGGGAAGGGGTGGTGCGTGTGCAAAGGGGCACTACGGTGAAGCTGGGCTGGTTTCAAAGCACAGAAATTACCTCGCGTGGCAACTATGCGGGGAGCAAACTGTGCCATCCCTCTTCCAGATGGCCGTCCCTGAGCCGTTTCCAACACCCCCATCCCTGCAGGCATCTTGGGGCCCAGCTTGGGCACATTAAGGCCCTTTGAAGGTTTGGGCTTTTTTTTTTTTTGTGGTTGTTTATTGTTTGCGGAGGGGGTTTTTTTCCCCCTTCTGAAAACACCATTTTCCAGCTTAAAACCAAAGCTTGATGGGAGAACAGTTCACCAGGAGCCTTGGGAGCACAAATTCTGCCTAGTTTTCAGCCTCAAACCTCCCAGGGAAGGTCCCTGTTGCTGCAACTCCAAGAAATTCCCTAATCCACCCCAGTTTCACAGATCCCACTGTATAACCCAACCCTGAGGAGTTGGAGGTTCCGTTTAACCCAGTGAACCACAGACAGGCAAGCAGGGTGGTTGATAGCGAACCTACAAGCTTTGCCTTCACTGCCATCCCCCGATGCGAGGTGAAGAGCTGTTTACAGGTAAAACAAACCTGCTCGCGGAGTCTGTGATGAGGATGCTCAGACGCTGAAGCCGTAGGAAGGAGGCTGAAGGAGAGGCCTCGCTGCCCATGCGAGGGAGGAGACGGGTACGGCTGCTCCAGCGCCTCCAAGCGAGGGTTATCGCAGTGTGAAGCACCAGCCTGTGAGTAACCTCTCCCTTTGCAGCGCTGCGCTCCCCGGAGAAGCTTTAGTAATTTCTAGGGAGGCTCTGAAGGCTAATAAAAATAAATGAATAAAGAAGTCAGGCCCAGCAATCGCTCTCTTCCTTTTTCGTGGCAAGCCTCGAGCTGCCCTTGGCTGGCTGATGAGGTGTGGCTCTGACTTCCCAGGTGCCTGAAGCAGAACGGATTCAGCGGCATCGCAGCCTGCTTTGCGGTGATGGATGGGAGTGATTACAATTGTTAATCTCATTGAGGCTACGGTCTCCAATTTTGCTCGTCTTAACAATATCGAAGGGGCTTAAAGAAACACTTGAGGAGGAGTATACGAAGATGAATGAAGCATGTGCTTCTGCACACTCATCAGTACGGGGCACCCAACACAGGAAAGATATCGACCAGTTGGAGAGTCCAGAGGAGGCCACAAAGATGCTCCGAGGGCTGGAGCCCCTCTCCTATGGGGACAGGCTGAGAGAGTTGGGCTTGTTCAGCCTGGAGAAGAGAAGGCTCCAGGGAGACCTTATAGCACCTTCCAGTGCCTGAAGGGGCCAACAAGCCTGGCTCCGAGGCCAGGCTGGGTCACCCCAGGAGCTCAGCAGAGGAGCAGCCCACCACTCGGTGATGCAAACCTGCGTGTAACCCCGATGGAGCCCTCATGGATGTGGGTCAGCAGGCAGCTCTGCGACACTGGTCCTCTCAGCACGGGTCTATTTGAAACTGCGCTGGTGTAATTAAAGGTAGTCTACTAATTGGATGCACAAGCCTAAGGGAGCCCCTTTAATTGCATTTCATTCTGGTTGGTATCATTTTCAGTTAACTTCACTGCTGTCTTGCACAGGAATAACCCAATGGGGTCTGGATACCGAGAGGCGTTATCATCCTGCTTCCTCTTCTCTCTCCCTTGTGCGGCTCCGGCTGTGAGAAAGCTACAGGAAGTGGAAGCGAACAGCTGTGGAAAATCCTTTCAGCTGGTAACGAGGACATAGACAGAGGCTGCGCCTTCATCTTGACTTGCTAATGGAGGCAAATCCCTCAATTATTACCCTGGTTTCGCTTGGATTTTACCTGCTATATGTTGCCATAAATTCCATCGTGCCACGAAGATGCATTCCTTTTGTTTCTCTGGTGTCAGTGAGGACCCCAGCTCTTTCTCAGAGGTGCTCCATTACTACCAGAGACACATGTCTGTAGCCAAAATCCTCCTGTTAAAAATTCAAGAGCCTCCATCAAACTGGAGGGTGGGGGACATGATAGGACTGTTGCTTGGAGCCTTAAAGCTCACGGGACCACCGCCATGTGTTTCTCCCACCTCTCAGTACGGGGCCCTCAGTTGCTCTCCTTAGAAATGACCTATTTCCAAAAGTCTCTTCTTCACCCTGGGCTGAACGTGGCCACTGCAACTCTCCCCCATTTCGGCACGCGCCGGCTTTCCCACACTGTGCCCTGACACAGGTCAAGCCCCAAACACTGATACCCCGTGGGGTGGCCTTGTGCAGCTCCCCGTCATGCTACAGGCATTTTGGGGGGCCTGGGCTGGCCCAAAATGGGCCGTGCCCCCTGTGCTGCTGCAGCCCGGCGCCGCGGGGCTGGTGGCCCTCCCTCATTCCCAGCGCTGCGTATGTGAGTGGCATGAGGAGCAGAGCCAACGCTAACTTAGCGCTGGCTGTGGCCCATGCTAATGTTGTTCTTGCTATTTCAGTGCCATCTTCCTTCTTTCCACCCTCTCCCTGAACAACTAAATTAATTACAGTGATTTTTTATATATTTTTTAAAAATTTAAATACTGTCGTGGAATAATAATTCTGGTGAGTTCATTTTTTTTTGTCATTCCCCACTGCTTCTTTTCTCTGGTGCTCTCTCTTTTAATACACTGTTGATATTCTGTTATATCTATGCAAGATCACAGCTGTTGTCTGCAAAAAAAAAAAACCCAGAAGAGAGTAAAATCACGCTATGTGCTGTTGCCATCCAACAACCATTTTTCTTCAACCACCAGCTCACAAAAAACCCCTTCCCTTATTAAGTGCAGGAGCACACATTTTTCTTGGCTTGTAAAAAGTGAAGCTGCAGCAAGGCGAGGAAGCTGAAGCCCCTACGACAGGCTGAGCCTCTTAGAAAGTCGGATCCTGCAAATCCTGGATCCCAAGAGCGACTCCGCACAGGTCCATGGGCATCACCCGCTCCTGTGCTTTACCAGGCACTTCAGTTGTGTTTACCTGGAGGTGTTCATTTGACCTATAAACGTGTTTTCTGAGCCAAGGCAGTAACGAAACCACTCCTGCGGCTCTTGTGGAAGGACAGAAAAAGAGGCAGTTAGACCCTAAATTTATGTTCAGGGCAGGGGTCGGGGCTGAGAGAACCTCTGCTTAACGCTGCCCCTCTGCCACTCCCCTTGGCTGCTGCCAGGCCTTTTCTGACCCCGCGGCTTCGGCCCTCCCTGGCCATCTGCTTCGAGACCGAAGCTAAGGAAGGATGAGGCCAGAGAAACTCAAAGGTGAGCCAGGATGGAGAATTGGAATTGTCCACAGCTCCCGTTACAAAACTGATTTGATGGAGCCTGGGGCGTGTCCTACCTCCGAAAGGGCCAGGTTGAACCTGTGAGACCCTGCAGGGGGTGGGGAGAACTGTGCCGTGGCACAAAAGGTGATTCCGCCCCTGGGGATGCTACGTGCAACCTCCTCGGCAGATGCTTCAGCCCCCTAAACAGTTGTAACTGCCTCTCCACAGGTTTCAGTGAAATCCCCTTCGGTGTGTAAACTCTGGCCCGGTGTTTGGCCTGGTACCTACAGCCTCCACTGCAACGGCAGATGGTGTATTTCCACCTGCAAGTGTGACACGTTTCGCGGGAAGCAGATGTTTCTATCAATGCCAGAACTGGGTGCAAATTCAAAGGATGCTTTTTTCTTTTTTTTTGGAACCTCTATTTTCCCCAATTATACTGCAACTTGCTGAACTATTCCAATGAATCACTTCCTTTTTTTTTTTTTTTATTAGTAGGCTCTAAAGGGACAAAGGAATAGCTTTGTATCAGCCTCCCTCAATTAAATGTAAAGTACATCTGGACAGAGCCTGAAGATCCATCTTCCACTGGCAGTTGCAAAGCCATCGACATAATAAAATAATACTCTGATTGGTATTACAAAGCTGCATTTAAATCATTGGCATTCATGCTCCGCATCTTTTGCGGGGAGCGCGAGCCCTCCATTAGAGAAAAGCTTCATTTTATACTGTGATCTGCAGAAGATACGCAAGGAAAATGAGGAGGAAAAAAAAAAGAAGAGGAGCTTTCACAGAGCTGGAGACATAATAATAGAAGCTACAATGAATGTCTGGGCAGCTCTTTCAGTTACTTATAAACTGCAGGTGTCAAATGCAGCCTGGAAAGAAGCTGAATTCCGGTTTTAATTACAGCCGGCAGGTTGGGGCATAATTCAGGGCTTGGTAGTACCTTCAATCCATAACAAAACTCCTCCTGCTGTCAGTGAGAGGGTGACACCAAGATGAAGGAGAAAACGTGACCTCCTTGTGGCAGCTAAACTCTGAATTTCAGTGTCCCACTGTAAAATCCCAAACGCCCTTGATATTTAAAGCCCTTATTCCTTGTGTGATTATCTCGGCAAGCCGCAGCATCAAACGGGATCTGAACCAGTGTCACTGCAGCTCTCAGCTAACGTTTCCTTTGGCTCAAATTAGCTCTGGGGGGGGGAAGAAGATGACAAAAAAAAACCCCTCTGACTGGAATTGTGCGTGCGAACCCAAAGCCGAGCGCCGTGCGGGCCTTCCCAGGTCTGGCACGGTCAGGTGCGACCCAGCTTTATCCGCAATCTCTTTGATCAGCAACACGAAGTTTATTAAGCTCAAAGAGCATGAACAGTACCACGTACATCAACGCCCTGACCCAAAACTCAGCCTTTGAGGCCTCTTGCTGATACATGACATAAAGAGTAATATTAAACTATTCTACCTATTAACAATACCGGGGGGAAAAGGAGGATGTGCATTCTGGAGGGCTGAACTCTGCTGCCGGGGGCTGCTGCTCAGAGGTGGGCAGAGGTCTCATTTAAAGCTGGTGGGCGGAGTCTTCGAAGGAGAAGCTCATTATGCCTGATTGTGTGGGCAGACACAGCTCTGGAGCGATGGGGTGTTGAGGAGCCAGGTGGCTGAAGAGGAAGCAGGGAGGCAGAGCCTCCCGGGAGAGGGAGGTTGGCAGCAGTGTGGATTTCTGGCAAGGGAGAAGCTCGTTGCTTTTACTCTGCTCAGGGAAACACAACCTTAGGAAGCAAACTTCGTATCGGAGGATCCAACCAATACGCCTGCCTCGTACCATCCTGCTGCTGTAATGGGGAGGCCCCGAAGCAGAAAGGGGGTGGTTGGCCCAGAAGAATGATCTTCCACTGGGCACCGAGAACTGCCCAGGACCGGAGGACTTATTCAAGGAGTTACGCAGAGCCGGAATAAATTACAGGAACAAACCGGAAGCGCTGACTTTTAAAATAATTGTATTTGTGCTGACACAACCCACACGTACAGATAAGCTTTATGTCATTACCAAAGGTGGCCCTCACCAGCGACAAACACGACTCTGGGTACGCAACACCTCCGTCCTCACAACACCCCTGTGTGGTAGGGCAAGGCCATGGACCCCCTTTCACCCGTGGGGAACCTGGCAAAACCGAGCGACTTCCTCATGCTCTCCCAAAAAGCCTGTTGCTGAGCAGGGAGCAGAGCGTGGGCTTTCAGAGAGGGGCAACCGTGGGGCTGCTTTTTTGTCAGACGCCCCGCCCTGCCCACAGCTCCTCTGCTCCATCATGGCCGTTCCTGCTGTAAGCAAACGGCCACAAGCAGCAGGTGGTGTCAAATAAGTCCCCACAGGCATTAAAGTGATCATAAAACAGGAACTGAAGGGGAGGGGGGAAGAACCTGTGGAAAGACCAACCTGATTTGTAACCAAATGCCTCTCTTAAATGCCTACCATGTTCCTAGTAACAAAATAAGTGCATATAAAAAAAAAAAAGTACTCGAAGAAGATGTGACTTTTTGTCCCCACCATCCCAGAATCACAGAAAACAAGGCTGGAAGAACCCCGAGGGGTCATCAGGTCTTTCCCCCAGCTTCCACGATCCCATCTTGCTGGGTCCCTTCAATAGATGGAGCTTACGGTGCTATCTTGGCTGCCTGTGTCGGAGGTGTCCAGCGTCACGTCAGGACCCGCATCCACGCCGTCAGGGTCTGCTTGATCTTTGGCAAAGTTGATGAAAACCTACAAGTTTAACAGAAAACATTCAGTATGTGACAGCATAAAGAGCTTATAATATGAATGAACATAAAAAAGGAATGGCTGTTCATTTGACTGTGAGCCTGGAGAGAGAGAGCTCAGGACTGGATTCACGTGGGATTTGACACCCGGCATGCAAAGGCAGACATTCCGGCATGAAACCTAGTTGTCCTGCAGCTCGTGTTTCAAAAGTGCCAGCAAGGTAAAACCCGTGTGTAGCTTGTTTTGATGCCAGTGGGAATGTTCTTCCAAGGGAAAAAGGAAGGAAGTTAACCATGAAGCTAAGCCTGGAGTAATGCTAAATGAACTGACAACCCAAGTACGGTACAGGAGTGAAATTAAGCGAGTTTCCAGGATTGGTGGGGAGACTCTACTGCCAGGAAGCCTCGCACTGGACGCGGGGGCGATTCATAACCCTGCCCTTCATCCGCATCCACGAGGCTGCTGAAATCAGCAGTGGCCGAGGGAAGAACAGATCCTTTACGCTACAGGCAGCTTTCTATGTGCGTTTTCCTAGCGCCAACACAGGTATCTGGAGGCAGCAGTACTGATAAAGTATCCCCAGGAGGAATATAGATGGAAATCCCTTTCAGAATGGAGTCTATTGTGTGCAGCAGTCCGTTGTGTGCAACCGTCAGTCTGCTCCCCTGTTAGCAGTTTTAAATGGATGGCCACACATCTTTAATTCCTCACCTCCTCTAACGTGGTCTGACTCACTGAGAAGTGCCTGATATTGAAGGCTGCTTTGCTGGCTTCCAGGAGATCAAAGATATTTGCAACCCCTCCTGCAGAGACTGGAACGTGATATTCCACCATGCTGAAATGCCGATCCTGTGGGAACCAGAGTGGGAGTTAAAGTCAAGAGGTTGCTGCTCATAGAGAGCCAACAGATGTGAGAATGGAAGCGAAGAGGAGATGAACCATGGGGGAATGAAGGGGCAGAGGGTGTCTTCTCTCCTTCTGGCTCCCAAAGGTGAAGAATATTGTTGTCCGGTAATGACCAGTGTTTCCCCATTGGGAGTTCTGGTGGGTTTTGTGACTGGGAGATGATAACTAAGGCCCAGAGCTGGAAGCTTGAGGGTAACCATAGCATTTTCCAGCTCCAAGTCTGCTGTTTTCATTAATGAGGAGACTGGATTAGAGGTGCTGAATGGGATCTGTGACTCTGTTACTCTGGTTTTACAGTTACTCGGTCACGGGAGGCCGCCCAACCATCTCATTACCTGCTGACTGTGTGTCTCCACGCAGTCCAGGCTTCAGGGGACCACCCAAGGGGCAGAGCGCCACCTCACAGCTGCCTTTTAGGGTCACTGCAGCTGTCTGGCTGAGGTTATTTAAGCCACCAAGGAACTTGGGAGCTCCGACCCTCGGTCAATATTGCTGATAGCACTGGCGTGTGTGCGTACGAATGCCTCGCACTCTGAGAGCATGGATCTATGTGTACAGCGCGTTGCAAGACGTCTGTCTTCCAAGACCCTCTTGGTTAACTTGAAGGGATTGAGAGGGCCTCTCCTGAACGCATTTGTCCCACTTACCTTCAGGCATGTGTTTGGGAAGTGTGACTTCATGAACTCTGTCAGCATCTCGGTGCTAACTGTGTTGCTATTTAAGTGCATCTTCACAGTGAATCCTCTTCCAAACCTAGGGGAAAAAGAAAATCGCAGTTAACACAGTAGGAAAGAGAAACAGTTAAAGAAAACCCTTCGAGAGTGCTGCACAGCTTCTTTGGGGAAATCTAATCCAGGCAGAGTGCAGCTTGAACGGGGTCAGGGTTGTTAACCTGGAATGAATCTTACTAAGAAGCCGCGCTACTGTGATAACTAATAAAAACGAAGCTCAACCCTAACATGCATTTCACATTTTCAGCAGTGAACTGATTACTTTGGGGAACACATCTCTGGGAAAAAAGGCTGTGAGAGAGTAGAAAGTGCACGAGTTAACACAGAATTTCAACGGTGTAGTTAGAAACATAAATCAGAAAATGACGTTGTTTTGACGCCCTGTTAACAAAGGTCTCCTGTTCCGAGCCCTCCAAGCTGTAGGCTGAGTAACTCCACGTGCTGTTCAGCGCTAGTGGAACAGGTGCATTTGACTGACCTGCTCTTGATATGCTGCAAAGAGCCGATGCACTGAAAACTCCCGTTCACCATAATAGCCAGCCTGGTACAGAGGGCTTCACACTCTTCCATGCTGAAAAATCAACCAAGAAACACCAGTAAGTCTTGAGAAGGTACTAAAACATGAGTTATTTTAGTGATTGGAGAGTGTTAACAATCTTCCCTAGAGCACTGAAGTGTGGGAATCACAGAATCACAGAATGGTTTGGGTTGGAAGGGACCTTGGAGATCATCTAGTTCCAACCCCCCGGCCATGGGCAGGGACACCCTCCACTAGACCAGGTTGCTCCAAGCCTCGTCCAGCCTGGCCTTGAAGACAGCCAGGGTGGGACTAAGTGGGCACCCACATTCAGCCACAGCAAACCCCCAAACCTGTCAGAGCCCAGTGCCCTGAAATTCTTCGAGGACCAATGGGGAGTGTGAAGAACGAGCCTCTCGCACCTCCTGCCAGCCCCGAAACTGGAGACAGAGCCAACCAGCCTTACCTGTGGGATGTGAGTACCACCGAGCATTTGTTCTGCACTTCCTCGCTGATGATTTTCCAAAGGTGGCGTTTAGCATTTGGATCCATTCCAGAGCTCGGTTCGTCCTGTCGAGAAACACAGGACTGAATGTTCATCTGTGTTCCACATCTGACCTTCTGAACACTGGCTGATAAAACCTTCAGCTGATTTCCCATATTCTTGAGGATAACGCCTTATATAAGGCAGAAATAAACCAGCCTGGGCTCAGGCAGCAGTCACTACGGAGGGAATTTCCTCACCTTCTAGTTTTATTGAGATATTTTTAGGTCCCAAAAGCAGCCAGAGGGCTGGTGTATGCGGCCAGAAGTAAAGGCAGCAGTGTTGGGACCAGGGAGATTTATACCATTAGATATCAAATGGAATATTGGGAAACATGCTCACGGAGCACCGCACACGTTCAAAACAGAGCAAATGGGAAAAACTGCAGGAAAAGCTGTATTTGAGCAATGGCAGATCTCATAGAAGAACTGGGAAGTTCAGAGTGAAAAACAAAAGGGGAAGCCAAACCAAGAAAGATAGTTTTATGTTCTAATCCTGAGGGAAGATGCTCCTTTGCTCTCCTACAGATTTGGAGCCTTGGATGCCGCTTTTCTCGCAGGCTAGGCAACACAAAAAACTCCAAGAAAGCTCTGGAAACAAGGAGAATTTAAGTGGCAAATACAGGACCTATTTCTGCCCTCTGACAGAGGCTGACAGAGAAACCGGCGGGCTGACCGCGCTGCTCGTATGTCCTCAGAGAAAATGTGGGTGCTGGCTGGAATCTAAACTTTGCTCTGATGCGTATGTTGTCAGGCCAAGTACGGGCTTTCGGGGAGTGTCCTGCAAGCTGTGCCTGAGAAGGTTTCGCTCGACTGGCAAAGCACCTCTGCCAGCCAGAAGAATCTGCTCCCTCCTTCCCCACCCCGCCCCAAGGCCCCCGTCTCTCACCAGCAGCAGAATTGATGGCTTCCCAATGAGAGCCAGAGCTGTCGACAGTTTTCTGTTGGTGCCGTAACTGCACATGGAGGTGACTCTGTCTTTGTAGGCCATCAGATTCAGGCGGTGGAGAAGCTGGAGTACAACCTGCGGGAGCAAGAGCACAGCTTTCACATCAACGTCCAGGCTCTCAATAACTGGAAAATGCTCTCAGACAAGCCCCAGTGCTACTCACTCCTTTGATCTCTCTCTCGGGGATGCCGTGGAGCCTAGCATAGTAATACATGTGCTCTTCCACTGTCAGCAGGTCATCCAAGGCATCTTCTTGAGGACAGTAGCCAAAGAGTGACCAGTGTGCCTCACTAATGTCATTCAAGGACCTGCGTAAGGAAGTCGGCAAGTCATCTCAAACACACTGAATCACCAATGCACTCTGCAATTAGACAGCAGAGGGAAAAATCCCCTTTCTCCTGCTTCCTACCCCTTCCCCATCCCTTGAAGGAAAATGCTATGAATTTGCAGACCTTCAGCTTTTAGGCCCTGAGCTCTGCAAAGGAAGAATTGTGTTTCTGACGGCTGTCAGCCACGACGTCTAGTACACGGCTCTCCAATTACCGCCAGGACTTCAGAGGGCACAGCTGCCACCGAGCCTACGCCTGTTACAGAGCGCTTGGAGAGGAGTCCTGCTGGTCTCCGGGTACTAGCTCGGAAGTGGGATCACATTCCGCTGAGGATCTGGGTCTGATCCCATTTGCAATGGAGCAAAGTGAAAGAAACCCCACCGAGAACAGCAGAGGTACAACAGCAAAATGCAAACCCTAGGGAAGCAACCATACCATCTTCCAAGGATGAAATCCCTGCCTTATGTATTTTTTCCTCTATTTTCAATGTTTTCTTTCGTTTCAGACTTTGACATTTCCCTTCCCTTGCCACCAGCCTTAAAAACTGCTCCCAGGCCGATTCGCTCCTGTGACTTCCCCAGAAATCTCATCCTCCATACCCAGAATGATCCTGGACGCGCAACCTTCCGCTGGATGCTCCAATATCGCCCGTCAACATCTTAAAGATGGTCGTCTTCCCGGCCCCGTTCACACCAAGCAAGCCAAAGCACTAGGTTGTGGGAAAGAAAGGCAGAAACGTAACCACGCTGTGTTTCTAACACAGGAACAGTGCTCAGAGACGAGTGCTTGGTGCATCTTGCCTCTTCTTTTCTCTGTACCCTCGAGCCAGATGAAGTGCAAGAGCGGCAGAGGTACGCGGAGCCTACCAGCGCGGTAGCAGAGGTCGTTTATGTGCACCATACTGCAGCTTCTATTAGGACCGTTTGTTTAATGCGGTGAAGAATCAAGGATGCATCTCTATTCCTCATTCCTTTTACTGTTAGGTGCATTTCTGCAGCGAGCTCATCCGACAGGCCAAATCTCGCTCATGTCATTGGTGCAAAGCCTCCCACTGAGTTCGCAGGAATGAGGCGAGTGAGGTTTGTGCTGTCGCTGGTAAAACCCTTAATGCCACACAAGATTTTTGTCAAATAATCTCACTAATGCACCACATTAATAAGATTAAGAACCGGCTGCCTGTAGTGCAGCTCAGTATCTCCCGCCAAAATCTGTGTTTTATCGCTTGGGGGAAGATACACGGTTCTGTGTTGCATAAGCCATCCCCGCCGTGCCGATGATTATGGTATCGTAGTACAGACCAGCTAATGGGAAAATCCTCACGTGCTGAGCCTACTGCAGGTGCACAGCATCCATCCAGGCTCTTCCCACCTCCAAGTCCATGCAGGGACAGTACCTGCCCCCAGCCTGCGGTGCAGGACCCCGGCCTCTGCTGAGAGCAGGGAATGGCACCCTAAACCCCACTGGCACTGGGCTGACTTTTGCCACAGGCTGGAAACCTCGATGCCAGTAGTGGCTGTGAAAACAGTCCTCTGCCAGAAAGATCAGTTCGATTTGCACGTGAGGCTGCTGTCCTCCTGCCCAGCACCATTTCAGCTCAGTGGGATCTAGGCAATCAAAAAAGCCCTGGGTACCAAGGATTAATTCAAAACTGGGTACCAAGGATTAATTCCAAGCTTCCCCACAAGTCAGGGGCACAGCCTGAGGCAGAATCTCATCTCCTCTTTCTTCTGGATTGCTGAGGCGCTCTGTGTGCTCCTTTCTCTTCAGTGTTTTCGCAGATAACTGCACCAACAGGACCAGGGAGTGTTTTTTTCTTTAGAGCTAAGAAATTAAGGAGGTCAGAGCAGAACAAATCACCATAGTTGTGCTGGGACAGCAGCAACGACTGGGTGAGATGATGACAGCTGGACTGTTCCAGTTTCGCTCCCCAGGGTGGAAGGTGTCCGCAGCCTTTTCCCCTCGCTTACCTCTCCAGCAGTAATCCCGAGGCTGATGTTTTTCACAGCCACGATGCGTTTGTGAGGAAGGTGGTAGATCTTTGTCACATTCTGGAGCTGCACCACGTCGAAGTCAGCTTTGCCAGACTCCACACGGTTCCTCTCCACCCGGACGTCCCCGTCCTCTTCAGCCGTGGGCGGCAGGAGTGATGCTTTGCCATGCACTCTGTCAAACAGGAACCTGCGGGGAGGGCAGAGAGGGGACCTTTCCCTCTGGTAAGCAGAGAGCAGTGGGCCTGTGTGCTTGGGATACTAAGGAGCCTGACCCATCAGATCCCAGGGTGTGCAAACATACACAAATATACTGACAGTTTCTATTTTCTCCTGGTATCTGCAACGTCTAGGGAATTAAAAAAACCCAATGTTCTCTCTCTGACTGATTTTTTTCTCCTTTTTCAGCAAATATTCTGAGCTGGAGGAGTTCCTGCCTTGTGGACACACTTGGAATGCAGGTGACAGGATTGTTCTCGCTCCTCCCTGTGTGCACCCAAGCCAGAGGGGACAGGGAGATTCCAACAGAGGAGGTTGTCCATGGACTGACTGCTCTTACCAACCAGGGGAACATCAGCCCACCAAGCCCAGAGCCCCGGAAGGAGGGCCATGCTCTCAGTCAGCGAGGACTACCCAGGGACTCTGGTAACTTATACCTCTATGAGTTAATCCGCTAATTACTGGTAGGCACTGGGACTGCTGCCAGAAAAAAATGTAACTCCACGTTTGCAAAGTGTCTTAGAAATTTACGGGCTTCATAATTAGCAATGATGGCGCGAGAGCCCAGAATTAAACCACTGAGCCCTGGCTTGGTCTGTTTTCCTTGCAAGATTCCAGATGTTACTTACTCTAGCATGTTGTTCCAGACTCTCTGAACCATCCTGTCGTGAACTGTAAGACGAATGGCAAAAAACACGGTGCCCTGGATAAACATGGCAAACAGCTTGGATGTGGTCTTGTCGAACTCAAAGGTTTTGTCAGGGTAGTCCACTCCATAGGCTTTTAAGAAGCCCAGCAGCGCCTGGTCCTGTGACAGCTCAATCAAGCCATAGCCAAAGCAAAATTGTGGGAACAGAAGGAACACATGCCTTAAGTTTTCAGCGAGATCACGCAAGCCCTGAAAAAAAACCCAAAAAGCAGCACAGTCAGTCACTGTTTTTATTCATGGAATAAATCCATAGGTTTTACTGTGGGACTGAAGTGTAACAATTACACTGGGATTTGCCTGTGTCTCAGAGCAGAGATAAATTGAGAGCAGAGAGCTCTGGAGACGGCGCGTTTCACAGGCACAAGGTCAGAAAAGTCAAGAGGCAGCTCTGAGGTTGTGATCACCCATAGTAAACAGCAGCGGGTTCCCAGCGCAGCCCCTCATGGCTGCTCCAGCCGCTTCGCTCTCTGCGTGCAGCAGCCAGAAACCCACCCGTGAGGCACAGCTGAATCCTGCCAGAGCTCCACCGTGCCTCCCAAAACCCCCAGCCTGCTGCAGAGCACAGCCCGCTCCCCAGTCCTGCGCCTCTGGAGCACTGAACAAACACCTCCATAAAGCACAAGATCTGCCTTTAAAAGACATCGAAGGGCAGTTTCACACTTAGGAGCTCTCCTACACAGAGATTTGCTACGTTTCTAGCAGAGGAAAGGATTAGCACACGCAGCAAAGTGGAAAGGCAGTAAATTTGCGTGGAAAGAGACTGACTCCCTGTCACTGGGACCCAGAGGGGTAAAAGATGATCATAATTGTGCATCCCTAAAATCCAGGGGGTCGCTAAACCAGCACTGCCCAGCTAGAGAGAAAAACCCAACCCTGTTACTGTTTTACAAAGCAATTGCCCTTTATAAAAAATAAAACTGAATGGAAGGTGTACATTTTATCCCAGTGATTGCCAGGGATATCTCAGTCTAAGAGGAGGTTTTGCTTCAGGGAACCATCACAGTCCCCGAGTCATTTTTCGTCCTTGCAGGGAGGAGATGATCGCATTACAGATCTTGGTGACAGACACCTGACGCTGGGCTTAACGCAGCCCGTGTCAGACGCAGGGCAGTGACATCTAGTTGCCACTCTCCACAGTTCATTCTGCAAGAACTTTGCAATGGTTCCAAGTCCCCAACAACTTTCTACCCAACACCAACACCTCTCTCCTGCCCTTCTCTGCATGAGCAGTTTCTTAACTCTCTCTGCATTCTCCCCTCTGTCACCACCTTTTTCTTCTTTGCTGGGGGTGCAGATTTACAGACCAGCAAGATGCATACTTAACTCATCTCCTGGCTATAGGGAACTCCATAAAGACTCGAGACTGGCATCCCCTGCTTGGTCTACCTCAAGTATCCTGACACCAGCCAGCTGCTAAGGCCCTGATCACAGAATCAGGGAACGGTTTGGGTTGGAAGGGACCTTAAAGATCACCCAGTTCGACCCCCCCTGCCATGGGCAGGGACACCTTCCACTAGATCAGGTTGCTCCAAGCCTCATCCAGCCTGGCCTTGAACACTTCCAGGGATGGGGCACCCACAGCTTCTCTGAGCAACCTGTCCCGGTGCCTCCCCACCCTCTCCAGGAAGAATTTCTTCCTGATCAAACCACCAACCATAACCAGAAGCCTCCTGTTGTTTCACCAAGGGTTTAGTATTAGTAGGATTCCTACCTGATCCGTGGCCTTTTCCTGGGAGAGCAGAAATACAACCGAGTGAGTAATGATAGTATTGATGCCAAAGAACAAGTTGACGCAGACATAAACGATGAAGGCCATTCCTGTTTCTTTGAAAAACCCAGCCAGCAGGTACATCCATGAAAACGTTGCGTATCTATAAATTGCCAGCAGCACAGAGAATACTGCAGTCACTCAAGAGCGACGGAAAACAAACAACCCAGTACTTGAGGCAACACACAGTTCTGTTTTGGCACATGACTAGATTTCCCTAATACAGGAGCTGAAGATGGAATAATGGCTTGTATCTGTTAGAATTCTGAGGAGCTGTTTATGATGCATATTTTAAACATGGAGCCTGACCAAAAGCAGACAGACTGGGCCTGGAGGATTCAAAGGCAGGGAGACAGTTTTCCTAAGTCTTCCTGAATTTTGCTGGTGGTTTGGTTTTGTTTTTTTTCCTCTCTGATTTGCAATGCTTCTGTATCTTGAACTCTGCAGTATTTCAGTAAGCATCTGCTTACAGCTTGGGCTGTCACTGTGACCTTGAATATTTCATACCCTCACGTAGAGTTTGCTTGGAATAAAGCAGGCATGACAACACTCATTTAGCTCACTGCTCCTGGAAGGAGCGACTAGTCACCATTTGTGAAGTGCACTCTGAAGAAAAAAGCCCGTCTACTCCTCCCTTGGATCCCAAATTGCAGCCGCCTGCAACATCCAGTTCCTCACTCTGTGCAATGGTATTTAAATAACTAAGCTCCACACTTACCCAAAGAGCAACAGCAGAAGAAATACTGCCAGTAAGTTATTGTTGTTGCAGAAAGCTGGTATCTGGAAGGAGGAAATAACTCCAACTGAGAGGCCAATAGGGACCATAAAAAGTACCTGCAAAATGATATTAAAAAGATGTTATTAGGTCGATAATTCTTAAACATTTTTTTTAGAACTACGCAGAAGCAACACCACCAGGTTGAATCTGAACCGGGTCCCACAAGTGCCACTTGGGTTTTTGGAGGGGAACCAAGTAACGCTGGGGTCTCGGTGCTCCTGAGGCTTTTGGAAGCCTGGCAAATGAATTCCCACAAAGGCAGGTTGAAGAGCTAAGCCCCAACGTTCAGGACTGTGGACAAAAAGCGTCTTGCAAAAAGGCTGTGAGTGAAAAACGCCCCCTTGGGTTTTCTGTTAGCCTTGCAGTCAGACCGCTTTGTTGTGCCCCTAAATCTGGTGTCTGTAATGTTGAGTCAAGCCAGGGACCTACCAAACGTCCGCCTCGAGAGGTTCCGCTCTTTCCCAGCGTTGGGATTTAACAGAATTTACTGGCAGGGATTCACTGAGAAATATCGAGTTGCCGAGAGCGCTGGATTAGTTTCAGCCCACTGAATACTGATTGTGGCAAGGACCCTAGGGAGTTTTCCACAGGCTGATTTACAAATATGCAGTGCTGGAGCGAGGACCTGGATCAGGGAAACAGACACAGGCCTGCCCCATGCTCCCTGTGCTGCGACTCCAGGCTGCTCTGCCAAGCCAGACCGTTCCACGCTGCCTTCAGACCCCTTTCAAGCCCCTTGTGCAAGGCAGGAGATACTCGTGCTGGTTCCTCATGGCAGTTCAGACTATTCAGTGGTGAGCAGCGCGTTGTTAGGACTGCTTGGTTAGCACGCATCGGTGCTACCGAAGCACCTAGAAGCTTAGGCTGTACTCTGCAGAAAGAGTGGAGGCTCCCATTGCCCAGGGGATTTCAGCCCTGAGCCCTCTCTGCCTCAAAGCGGGCTGGCTGCCTAAACGCCCTTGAAGATTTCATGTTTTCAGGAACTGCTGCTATCCCTGGGATTTCAGGCACGTGCAGAACTGCGCCAATAGAAATTTGTCGGATACGTAGAGCTGACCACCATTACAGCATAGCTGGCAACGCCGAGGCTCACGAGCAGAGCTAGTCTGCGCTCGCAGATCCCTACGTGAGGGTCTGATGTCGTGCACTGAAGGTAATTCGTAAGACACAAAGCACTTGAGTCTACAGACACCGTGCATATTTATCCTCTTAGGCCAGCGACGCCTTCCAGCAGTGCTATTAATGCTCTGTACCAGGAGGAACCTAACTGTAGGGAGAACAAGGGTATGCCTACGCCACAGTGCTGAGGAACTCGGCTATCGCTAGGAAGAAGGTGGTAAATTTATACAGCGGAGTGCAGCTCTGCAGAAAGGAACTTGCCTAGGTCCTGGAAGGCATATGCCTGCATTAGTAGCTTCCCTTGGCTTAAAACCCTTTATAATATATAATCTTAAAGAGAGCATTCAACCCAGCAATAGATTTTTGCCCAGCAGAGGACTGCCAGCCGTGAGATGTCTGCTAATATCACGCCCTCCGCTCCCAGGGTTTCCGAAACGGCCATAGCCTCAAGGCCCAAAGCCTTCCCGGGATGCGTAAAGCCTGCATGACAACTAACGGAGCCCTGCAAGCCAACAGAAAAGCAGCTTGCACGCTGAAATCGAAACCAAGCTCTGGCCTGCTCTGTGCTGCTCTCATACTGATGTGCTGAGTGTTTTGCATACACTCGAGAGAGAAGGAATGCCTTCGCTTAGCAAAATCCAGCGCTGCGGTTCACGTTTAATAGTCTTTGATGCCTTGGAGAACAATTACTACATAAGGCTCTTGATAGTAATAATATTAAGAAGTCTAGGCAACCAACTTTAAATAAAGAACTTGTTTTCCCCCTGCTGCGTAATGCCACTCTTGGTGCGTTTAGGAATGTGAATTATTTACCAGATCATAAACGAAGTTAGTCACCCAGTAGCTTGTCATCCCGATGCCTGAAATATGCTGCAGTTGCTTGGCTTTGGTTTGATGTTCTTTTACCACGTAGAGCACGAAGCTTGACGTTGTGATAGAGTAGCCAACCAAAACAGACATTGAAACGATGATGTCGAGCAAGCTGTTGAGCCTGGGGAGAAAGTGGAGAAAGATGTAGATGGTGAGTCCAAGCAGCAGGTTTCCCTCGCTGCAGAGGCATCTGACAGAGCTCAGGAGCAGAGGGGCTGGGATGGTGTGCCAGGCTGGCGGCAATTATGCCTAGCAAGGAGGCCTCACAGCACCGAGTCCTAACTGTAGCGTTGATTGGAAAGGCCAAAAGGAAAATTATGTGATTCTTATTATAGTGCCAAAGCACAAAAATGTGTGACGCTGCGACCACGACCTTCGGATCTATATGGGATTCTGTGAAGAAACCCTAACAAGAATCTGCAGCTCTGTGGCACGCAGGATGCTGTTCATGTGTAGAGGGAATGAAGACAAGGAAGAGAGCAGTTTCATCATTTAGAGAAAGACAGTCAGTAATTTAGGCTGCTTTATGGTTTCCAAGAAGCTGGTTTGCTTCTTTTGAAGCTAAACAACTCAGGCATCAGACAAATGAATCTTCTTACATTACTTGCTCTTGACTCTGTCCTCCAGGATATGGGTGAGCTGATAAGAAAATACCTACAAAAAACAGAAAGAAAATAAATTGAGGATATGGCTAACTCAAAGCTTCCTTCTCCAGTCCCTGAGATTGACAGTAATACAGAAAGCTGTGAGTAGAGAAAAAAGCATATCAAAAGCTCTTTTTTGCTGTCATCTTGGTGTGATCTTGGGCAGAATTTTGAGCATTCCCGTTCTTCCTACGACTTCACTTTGATGCACAGCGGATCTGAAATTCAAACCCCAGGCTCTGTTTCTGCAGCTATCTGCCTGATTCACTTCAGCGAGAGCACTCCCACACCTAAAATTAGGCATATGCTCGTGGGTCCATGTGTTTTAGGATGGATTCCTCAATGCTGATGCATTCAAAACTGGCGAATACACTTAATTTTAAAGTTGCTATTTGAGGAACTTGCCGCAATTCATTTGCTCTTGGGTCATCAGAAACAAATAATTCCCTACTGGCCTTCTCCACAGCTGTTTATCTTCCAACGGTGTATGTCTTTCTCAATAGGGGCCTCCGTTGAGATGCTAGCATAAACCCAAGTAAGCTACAGGCACTCTGGTTGCCAGTTTGGCAATGAGTTAATTCTCAACTCTTCTGTCTTATGCAGCCAGGGGAAAAAAAAAAAAAAATCTTTCTGTCCAAAGGAATTAGCAAAAATCTAGTTATTCCATTTGTAAGCCCAGTGTGAAGTTTTCCAAAAAGATCCCTTAAAAATGGGTTTGTATCAAGCACAAGCTGCAAGAGGGAAGTTTTCTGCTCGTGTGCAGGTATCTTCAGAAGTTGGTTTAGGTACTTCTTTAGCAAGGAGAACACCTAGCTCAAAATGTTGCTCATCACAGCGCATTTGCTTTGTTCAGACGGAATTTGTGCCTAAATGCAGCATTTTCTAACAAAGGGAGGAACTCGAGGGGCTGTGGTGGGCCAGTGAAGATCTGCCTTGGTCCCACCACGGCAACAGACCAGTCTGTGGCATCTGAGAAAGACAAAGATGTCTTAAATTGAAGTTCCCAATCTGTATTTAGGCACCTAAGTAAATGCCCCCGCTCTCAGGGAGTGCAGGAGGACCCTTAGCTGCTATGAAACCCAGAGGGATTTGCTACAGCATGGCACCTCTGAAACCTAAGCTCCTTACAGCCAGGTGCCTGGCTCGCAGGAATCACAGGAGGAAAAACTATCCTGGGCTATTTTTCCTAAGAACGACCACTCTGACATGGGGCCAGAAAGAAAGAGATTTGTGGGTTTAGCTGGCCAAGTGCCATACCGAAAAATAAACTTGAAAGGGAAGATTTTATAGGAAATTCATTTTGGAGGGGGAAAAAAATCCACCTTGGTCTTGTCATCAGTGAGAGAAATGGAATTAAAACCTTGGGCTGCTGATAAAGCCACACAAACAGCCAGGAAATGTTTCCTTTCTCTAAAAGAGAGAGAGAAAGAAAGATACCGTCTGTCTAATCTGTTAATACTTCACTATAAAGCCATTTTCCTTTACCGAAGCTTAGGCTAGAAGTCAAAATTTCCATTTCAATGCTTTCCCTTTTTTGTTGGTTGGGACTGAGAGAAAAGAAAGCACAATATACATAAGTCAAAAGCTATTATGACTTGCTTAGTGACATGGTAAAAAGCTTTTTATGTATTCTTTAAAAATATAGCTGCCTAAGTCAAACCTCCAAAGCAGGACTGGCACCTCTTCCAAACTGCTGAAATGACAACACACTTTTATCTGGCCATTTCAATGGTTCTTAAACTGTCATTTGTTTGTCACAACAACAAATAGATTTAGCTGCCAGGAACACACCACGCTGAACGTCTGTTCAATTGTACTTCAAAGTGGATTTACACTACCCCAGGGGAGCTATCCCCATCCATTCATTTTATTTCCCCACACTATGGCTTGGATCATTAGTGGGAAGTGGAGAATTATCTGTCTGGTCATTTACTACTAAGCATTTCTTTCAAAAAACACATAAGCAGCAGGACAGATGGAATAAAACCCGCTGCTACTCTTTCCCACTGAAAATTATTTTGCTGCTATAAAACTTTCCCTGTGAAAACTTTCTGACTGTTCACACCAGCTCCCTGCCTTTGCTCTCACTACAGCATGCATTGGGAATACAGAGACAGGGCAAGAAGCTTCGCTGCTTAATAATTCAGCTGCTCTGGGATGTTCTGGCTGCTGGAAGCGTGCGGCTCAGGTCTCCTCTCTCCACATCTGGGCAGGGGCTGTCGCTCTGTGCAACGCTTTTGCAGTGCACAGCAAGGAGCTGGAACCTTCTGACCTGGAGGGCATGCTGCAAATCTCAACGGCATCTCAGGGCGACGGCGGGCACGAGGCACCGGTTTCGCTGAGGGGAGTTTCAGCACATCGGAATGTGGAGATGGAAAGACAGAGATGCTGTTTTGACTTGCAATCAGCATTCTGCTGTTTCTTTAATTCATGGCATGACACTCCAAGCTTCAGACCAGATGCCTTTTCCATTCTAGTTAAATTCAGACCCACCGGTGAGGAATAGTCTGATGAGCTAAGAGACACCATCAGGGCTTTCAGGCTGCTGAGGTGAGGGGGGCTAGGCATGAGCAGGACGTGGCTGGGGGGGCACCGTCTGTCGAAGGAGATCAGTCGGCAAGGCATTTCTGCACACAGTTGCTACTCTTGTCAGATCCCATAAATCTCTGTATAACATTTCTCAAAATGGCATCAACATGAACCCTTTTCTTCCCCCTGCACCCCTCCATCTCTAGAGACAGACACACAGATGTATCTGTGCCCACGCCGCACCCCTGATGTAGCCTAAACCGTAAGCGATAGGGAAAAAAAAAAGTGTTACATTACCAAGGAGAAGCTATGAGAACTGATAACCCCCAAATGGGCTCCTAACACTCTTTGGAATCTGTGCATGTCGTGTGTCAGAGGAAAAATATAGCTGAAAATTATGTTTCTCACTTAATCTCACTCTCTCAAACACAAACCATACAGATACCCACACATCCCGAGTTGCTTTCAGGGTGACATATTAAAACGTGCTAATCTAAACCACCCCCGGAGATGCTCTGAAGTAGCCTTTCTGTGCACAGCTGATGGGCACCTACCCAGAGACAGCTATTTCCGTACCACCGCGAGAGGCAGTAAACCAAAGAGCAACCACTGGCACTTTCGGGATGAAGGAAGGAGCTGAGGGTCTTCCCTGTCCAGCTCCCCCGAGTCTTTGACAAAGACAAATGAAATAATGTGACTTATTTGTGTTTTTCAATTCTGTTTTTAAAGGAATTGCATAACTGGGAACAAAGAAATGGCCTCACTGAAGTCAAGGTAAGCGTTGTCATCGATTTCAACAGAACCACGATATTCCCCCCAAAGGGGAGATATTATCCGCTCGTGTAAAGGGACACTTACCGTATCTGGAAGTCTCATTTTTTGGCAAGTTAGCTCGAAGAATGAAGTTGTTCAAGCTGTTGAGATAGGCTGGGAGGCTGTGATAACCTTCGGGATTATACCACACCTGCACACAATTGAGAAATTGAAACAATTTGGGAGAGAAATTGTTACTGATAATGCTTCGGTTTGTTCTGCTTGCAGAAATGAATCGTTCCACGGCTGTTATCGAAAGCCGTAAGCTCTACAAGTTAAAGTCCGATGATTAAACCCCATCAAGCACCGAATTAGTATAAAAGCACATTTCACTTTCAGCACAAGCAGTCCCATCAGCTTCATTTGCCTTCTGGGAGAGAAGCAGCCCTGGCTGCATAGCCGACAAAGCATACAGGCACTCCTTTTCTTCTCTGTAGTAAGTTGCTCAGATCTGGTGAGCACCAGCAGCGGAGACTTCCCGGAGAAGGCTAAGCAGTCTCTAACACCCCTGGAAAGCCAGGGGAAAAGGTCTCTTTAGGGCAGAAAATAGCCAGTCTTCACCTTCTCATTCAGCAACAGCCTCTCCCTCCCCATGGTAACTTTTTTCCTAAACCACGATAAACCCTGAGGACTGAGGGGACAAATCGGAACACGCACTTTGGGCACATGAAATAGCCCTGAACTCAGTATCACTTCTCCTGGGCCCCCCGCTTCCCGTGCTAGGACAAGCACCTGTAGTTACCTTAGTCAGTGTTCTGTTGGGGGGCACCGGTCTGATATCAAACTGGAGATCTGTTGTCAAAGGCAGCCCGAAGCTCCAGCCACCATACCTGAGTGAAAAGCAGAGGGAAATGCGTTGCTACCCTCATTGAAAAGCTCCGATGCCTTTGGCTGGTGTATTTTAGCATGCCACTGTCACCCCAGCGAAGTCTGGCTTCGCTTAAAAGCACTTCTCCCAGTACACAGTGTGTGGCCAAGCCCACGCTGCTGCAGGTGCTCTTATTTGGGGGGAAAAAAGGGAAACAGAAGCGTGGCAGAGCTATTGCAATAGTGTGCTGAAAGCCTCTCTCTGAGAAACATTTCGGAGCCGTGCGGGGTCCTAAGCTGCTTGCCTACCACACTGGAATAAGATGACTGCGTCTTACCCAGAAGACAAGCAGCTCGGTTTAGATCAGTGGCAGACAGAGAGATTCCTTGACAAGCTTAATGGCAGGCTATTTTTGCCCCAAGACATGCTGCCGAGTCCAGAGACACTAATAGCTCTAACAGCCCCATGGTGCAGGAAAACGTTCAGCCTCTCACTTCACTGGAATGGATGCACTTGTTGAAGTGAAGCACACACGCACGGAGACTCTTCAGAGAATCAGACTTGGAGGAAAGACTCTCCCCAGGGTTTATTTCGTGACAGGCTGTGTCAGATTCTCCTCTTATTAAGCATTTCTGAGTCAGACAAAGGCTTGTCTGTGGATCCAGCCATCAGCCTCGGAGGTGATTGACATGTTATCCCTGGGCTATCTCTGCTATGATCAAGCAGAGCACTTGCACAAACCTTTAACTCTGTGACTGCAGGGCATTTTACCTCCTCTCACCAGATTCACGAAGACCACGAACAGAGAGGCCTTTCCAAACCCCTACTGCACCATCACCTCTTCACGCCCAGGGGATATGGTGTGTATAAAAGGCTGATCCCAGAACAGTTCAGAGGAGAAAGATGGGAGATCTATGCTGTACCGTTTTTGTAGGAAGTCTTTGGTGGTTGCCAGAATGTAGGTCTCCACGTTGTGCCCTGTCAGGTTATAAACTGTCCGGGTGGAGAAGGTCCTTCGGTGAGGGGGAATGTAGTTTGTCTGCGGACATGTCTGAGCGGACACAAATCGATAAAAATGTTAAGTGTCTGTGTTTTAACTAAAAACTAGCACATCAGCACAAGACTGGGAGCAGGCAATGGCAACATTCTGGCCCTGGGAGCAGTTCCTACAGAAGCTGACGATTTGTAAATCAGGGTGCAAAGACACACAGCACACATCCCTGCACGCTGTCCTGGACTTAGCGAGAGGCTTGCAAACAACCTTTGCTTCAATCTACACTTCACTCCTACTGACATCAGGGAGACCTTGAAATATGCTTCATGCTACACGGGAAGATTTTTGCTGAATTAAGGCTGATCCTACTTAACAGAGCGTCAGTGACTTGCACAGCCAACAGCAGAGGGGAAAAACAACTCACAGAGCAGAAAACTCCACTGCAGCCTCAAATTCTCATCTTGCATTTTACAGCCGCTACGCTCTACATTTTTGCTTTACTGACAGTCATTGGGAATATTTTCAAGAGCTTCAGAGAAACCTTGGATTAGTCCTGAATACATAATTTAACACGCTGAGGGTCAAAGCCACACTGACTGTTTCATGAGGTTGAAGTGTCCTACCAGACAGCATGCTGGCTACTTCCTTCAGCTCATCCATAACAAAAACCCTGGCCTCCCCCATGGTGTATCCGCTCATAACTTTGCACCAGAACCCACAAAATAGCTTCTTTCACGCTGAGGAACACCTGCCTGTGCCTGCTAGAGGTGAGAATCAGCTTTGAACGTTATCCCGGCTGAGCAGAGAAATGACGCCGATATTTTTAACGATGCGAAATTAAGTATGTGTCCTTAAAACACACAAAATAGCTGCGTTTCAAGGAACGGCTAGGGATGTTCAACTCCGTACATGCTTTATCTTACAAAAGGCATCACGCTGTGCCTTGACTCTGGTTTCCTACTGGCAAAAAGCTGAAGGCGGGTGAACAGCCCTGGAGGGAGGAGAGCTCAGCTTCAAGCCGGAGTGTAAAACCGTAACGTCACTGGGGCAGAATCTGCCCTTTCCCCATGTGCGTGTGAAGACGCTAAGCCCAGCAGTGCCCGTACCCAGTTCTCTATGCACCATCCCACTGCAAAGAACTGAAGTTACTAATCATTACCACTTATAATAAAGAGCGGAGTAAAAGCAGATGGATCTAGACCTTGCATAAAGTTGAATTCTGAAGAGCAAACTATGCTTTCCCATAATGACAGTGCTTGTATAAAATGTAATTTTCCTCTGGAATACATGTTCACCTCTGCTAAATGGGACAATCACACAGCCTTCAAAACTACCATTAAAGCTTTTCCCACCACAGGGAGGAAGGCAGATGTATCAGCATGCAAATCTTCTGAGGATGCTGCTTCCTTTCCTGACCTCAAACTGGTGCAGACAGTGGTTATCCAAAAATCAACAGGGCCAAAGAGAGGCAGGAGGAATCTGAACACTGAATTCCCCTTAGTATCATGCCTGCCCACAAAACCACTCCCAGCCTACAAGACCCCCCCAGGCTCTCTCTCTTTTGGGTTTATTCAAATTACCTGGATGCCGTCGGTGCAGTTGCAGGCAGAATACTTCGTTCCCTGGTTTCCACTGCTGACCCACTGGCCGAGCATGTCCTCCTTTAGACACTGCCTGAAAGTGAACACATTTTCCTCTGAGGTTCCCTACGCTGAGGTGCACAAACGATGCTCATTGCTGTTGTGCTTCATGACAGCAAGGATCATAGAATCATAGAATGGCGTGCTTCATGACAGCAAGGATCATTGAATCATAGAATCATAGA